TTTTAGCGTTGTAACCCCGAAAACTTACCGCTGTCTCACTGGGGGAGGATTTGGAGGGAAATGTCTGTGATGATAGTACCCAAATCTACATCCTTTGAATATTTACTGATCTTTGTACAGTTTGGATTTTGTTTCATTTTTCATCAGTTATTGTATTATTTTTGTATTAACTACCCCACCACTATATAAAATAATCTTGTAATCATTTTTTTTTCGCTCCCCAGTGGCACAGCGGTATGTCTGCGGACTTACAATGCTAGAAACTTGGTTTCGATACCCGTGGTGGGCAGAGCACAGATAGCCCATTGTGTAGCTTTGTGCTTAACTTCAAACAAACAATAATCATATTTTCACACATTAAAACAAATACATTAAAATTGAAGTTTATTTATCAAAAAAACTTTATTTATTTAATTGTATACATATAAAAATAAAATAAAAAATCGCAAATTCATATTTTGGGTTGATTTCTGTGAGCTTAAATGAAGTCATTATTATTTGTGATTTTTTAATTTTGTTTTCTGATGTGCCACTCAGCACTCGTAGCCACCTAGGAAGAAAGACGAAATGGTTTTAAACAAAACATCGCTAATTATTTGACCTTGTATTTCAATAACAGTGCAGTTTATCGATTTCAAATAATCACTGTTTCTCAATCTCCATTCCCTAGTGTGATGTAATTGTCTATAGTATATCTCAGCTTTGAGAAGTCGTAGACTACTGATCTAAACACGTAATGAAAGTTCTTTTTTTTATGTTGCATTTTGTTTTCAACTGTACAAGCCAGTATTACCTCCGGTTCAGTGAATATTCGCGTAAATGTCGAAATAAAGTCGTAAAAGTTTAGCTTTGTGATAAATTGCTAGAAGAAGAGATATTTGTAAACAACTTGCCACACAACCATAGTCCTTATATTTTTAAAATTAGATTTCTCATCTTATATTTCATTTGAATTGTGATGTTGGAGTATGGTATGAAAAGAAATGTTTTTCGTAGAACAAGAAAAGGTAGGCTTAATACAATTTTTTTGCACTCGACCAACATAAATGAGTCCGATGTGTTAGACCATGTTGACATTAGGCTTAGTAGCTGCCTAAACGGGCAAACAATGAAATGTGACAAATTATATATATATATACAAGATTATAAAACGGGATTGAACTTATTACATATTGTACACTAGTAATCGTAAACACAGTGAAATTACATGGTGATTTTGTAATCAAAACAAGAATAAAATTTACAGTTTTATAAAATAAAAACTCTGTAGGAAAGTTTTAGAAGATTGTTTGTTTGTTTGTTTTTAATTATGCACAAAGCTACACAAGGGCTAACTGTGCTCTGCCCCCACGGGTATCGAAACCCGGTTTCTAGCGTTGTAAGTCCGCAGACATACCGCTGTGCCACTGGGGGGCCGTTTTAGAAGAATTTAGGGAATTTTAAAAATAATTAGGCAGTTTAAATTGTTTCTTTAAAAACATATCACAATGAAATATAAATATAACATTTTATTTGTAGTATGTACATAGCCTGTAGAAAGCTCATCTAACGTTTCAAGTTAGTGCATCCAGTATTATTATTATTATTGCAGTTCGGTAGCTTTCGGTGACTCAGCGTCTTGTCTGAGAGCTGATAACGCTAAAAATCGAGTTTCGATACACGCAGTGGGCAGAGCACAAATAAGTCATTGTTAATCTTTCTGCTTAACGACAAACAAACAAAAAAGTCAATTCAACAAAACAAACCATATAACATATGCTTTGAATGGATGTACCTGGGCATAAAGAGTTAACCGAGTCTGTTCTGTAATATGTGGTGCTGAATTATTCCTCAGCTGATGCTATTAAGATTCTTACACACACATATACATATCAGTAGTTACCCCGCACTTCAGACCCAAGCGCTAATTGGTTGCCTCAGGAAGGGGCAGTCAATGGTGTAATCATTAAAATCATAATTTCGAAATGACAGATATATATATATTAACTAGAAAACTTATAATATGTGTTTAATCCAATTAAAGCTACATCTTAAAATTATAAAATACCATAAAGATGGGTAAATTCTGTCAATGCTTTAGTTTGTTTATTCATTTCAGTCTTTAGGTATTCTCTGAGAGAATCAAAAACCTCTGACACACTTGACGCTTCTATTGTGACCCTCAGAAAACACACTTAACCAGCATGAATCTCCACATGAATTAGTAAGGGTAATTTTCGTGAGACTACTCACTCTCTGGGCAGCGCCCCCTGTTGAGCTGAAGTAGAACCTCATTTTGCACATATAGTCTATTGTCTCAGTAAACAGTAAGTGGAATTAGGAAGGGTAATATTCTTATAATGCTCCTTAGACACAATTAACAGTAAAGGAACATAATGCTTGAAATAAACGCGAGTTTTAATATCTCATAATTAAAGTTATGTGAAATAGGCTTAGTTTTGCGCGCATAATGAGAGTAATATATCTAAAATACTGTTATTTGTATCAGCCCATTACAGTAAGAATAATTTATTGTTGACTGCATTTGGATGACACAGAAGAAACAAATGTAATTATTTGTGATGCTCAGAATATGACCGGTTTGTTCATGATGTTTACAATAAATTTATAATAAGGTCACATATTTTTCAACAGTTTAGTTTTGAAGTTTGTGTCAGTTACTTTTCTGAAACTATTACAGCACAGTTTTTACAAATATGGTAATTTTCTTATTTGTTGTTATTTGATTTTATAAAAAAAAAAACAACATACGAGCAGATAATTGAAAGAATACAATAAAAACCTTTTCATGTTCTCGCTTTCCTTCTTTTTAAACAAAAAAAATAAGTTTTGTGTTTGTAAGTCTGTCTAATATTTTTATACAAAATATATTTATTTTCCTTTATGTTTTATTTTGCCACCAGATGGGACAGCGGATTTATAATGCTAGAATAAGGGATTGGAATAAGAGATAGCCCGATGTGGCTTTGCTATAACAAACACATACACACATTATATTTTAATATCCTGGATGATAATGGTAGAACTAATTACTCATATTGGGTATATTTGTAGCATGTGTTGATATCAAGCGCGTTAAGGAATATATCATCAGGCACTAGAGCTAAAAGCAGTAAAAAAACAGACTATATTAAATCAAAACTTCTGTGGAAAGCAGAAATTTTCTCATTTTCTATCTTAAAAAAAGTATATAAATTTTTTTTTTATTAATACTACCCCCCCCCCTCCCTCCAGTGGCTGAGTAGCAAGTCTGAGGGCTTATAACGCTAAAGATCAGGTTTCAAAGCTCGCTGTGGGCACATTGTGCAGTTTTGAGCTTAATAACAAACAAAATATTATTAATAATACCAAAGTAGAATAAAGTGAACTACTACAAGAAAAAAAAATCTTAATTAAGTCATTCCATTGGAACACCTACGTAATTGGTTAGCTTTTTTGAAGTGACTTTGTTCGTTGTTTTAAATTGCCTAAGGTTGCTGAAGCGTAGTCTGCGAATGAATATATTCTACAGTAATCGAATACAAAGTGTGCAATTATAGTATAGAATGGTTCAGTTGCATCCGAATTATGACAAATAAGTAAAAGGTAGGCGGATTAATTAATCGAGGCTTCAATTACCTTAGTAATTGTTAGTGATATTCTTGTCAAACGTGACATTCAAATATTCAAAGTAAAAAAATCGATATATATATATATGGAGTGAAGTTACTTTAATTATAGCTCGAGCTGAATGCTCGCGTATTATGTGTTTCAGACGTAAAGACAGGACGAAAGGAGTATGAGATAATAATGACTAAAATACGTTGTGTTGGCGTTATTTGTTGATAACCTGTATACCCACGTACGCTAGTTATTTCTCCAGTTGTTTTAGATGTCAGACAAACGTAAATTCGTCAAGATAGGAAGGATTATTTCAAGCCTAATTTTTGTGTATCAACAAATCCGTTCTCATTGAATTCTGCTTAAAATGCATGAAATAGAATTATGTACGTTAACTGAGAAAGTTGTTTGGAGAGGGATGAGATCCTCTTCCCCTTCTAATAACGAAGGAATTGTTATGTTTCTTTTTTTTTTATAAATATGTTGTTTATTACGTTTCCCTTGATTAAGGTTTTGCACTTTCATAAGATCTAGAAACAACAGTAAACAAAGGTCAACAAGTCCTTTGTTCACTGTTGTTTCTGAAACTTGCAAGTTGTTGTTGTCCTTTGTTTACTGTTGTTTCTGAAACTTGCAAGTGTTTCTGAAACTTGCAAGTTGTTGCAGTAAACAAAGGAAACAACAACTTGCAAATTGCAGAAACAGCAGTAAACAAAGGACAACAACAACTTGCAAGTTTCAGAAACAGCAGTAAACAAAGGACAACAACTTGCAAGTTTCAAAACAACAGTAAACAAAGGACAACAACAACTTGCAAGTTTCAGAAACAGTAGTAAACAAAGGACAACAACTTGCAAGTTTCAAAAACAACAGTAAACAAAAGACAACAACAACTCGCAAGTTTCAGAAACAGCAGTAAACAAAGGACAACAACTTGCAAGTTTCAGAAACAACAGTAAACAAAGGACAACAACAACTTGCAAGTTTCGTGCATTTTTTATAGTAAGTCCTTGTTTATATATATTCAAATAGCAGGTGTTGTAAGGACCATTGCGTCACTGTTAACAAAACATAGAATATTGTATCTGTGTGAGTTGAGTACACCATGTGGATAAGAGAACCGCAGTTTGCGGCGGAGGTGAAAAAACCAACAAACAAAAAAACTCTTTACGAACCAATGAGTGAGGTATGCCGCGTGGGAGGCACTGACATTTGCAGCTATTGTCTTGCCCGTGTCGTGTCTGGCTGTAAAACGCTCGCGAAGCGCCATTTTGTTTCGTCATACGTGACGTCAAAAGGCTAGCAGACGACCATCAGCTCGAGATCGTTGCTACATATATGCACAATACGTACGATCTGACTTACTTTGTATGCCAATTGGGTGGAAGAGGAACTGTCGAAGTTCTAAGGTTTCTTGGCATATAAAAGTGGGTGGTAATGCTGACGGCTCAAATAACTTTGACGAACTAAGCTTTAGTAAAACATGTATGGCTTACAAATAAATGATCTGATGGGGCTTGAATATTTCCTGCCCTCGAAGGCTGTTTACCAATCAGCGTGAAGCTCCCCGCCGCTTCCATATAACATGTGAGAATGACCGAACGAAGGCCACTCGTCTATCTACTGTCACCTGCGTGCAAGGCAGCTGCTTTCTATGGAAACAGAAGTCGCCGCAATACAGCCTTCTCAGGCTCACTCAGGTAGGACTTATATTAATTCCATATTATTACACAAGCTGATATATATATTACCGGGTATTTTACTGAACTTCTTCAGATTAAGAAGTCTAATTTTTTACATATGTTACCGGGTATTTCGCCGTACTTCTTCGGACTAAGAAGTCTGATTTCTACATATGTTACCGGGTATTTTGCTGAATTTCTTCAGGTTAAGAAGTCTGATTTTATACTAGTTTCATGTCATAGCTACATCAAAGAGTTAGCAAAGAAGTAATGCGTATACATTTTATCATGCGAAAGCCCAACTAAACAACCAGGTCAATATCCTTTCTAATGTTCTAGACAGCCTTGGTTTAGTTGGGAAAGGAGGGAGGGAGAAAGAACTTCGCGCGCAAGCTGCCAGACAGGCGTTATATATCAGAGCTACACTATTCTTGTGTATAGAGTCAGACAGGAGTAGTTATAGTTCTTACCCAAGCACGACAAGGTAAAGACAGCAAAGCAGCAAATACTTTTACAGTTTTGGCTTTACAGTAAACAAAAAAAAAGAAAAAAAAAGAGAATTCTTCTGGCCTCTTGGATTGTTTCTTTTTCCCTCCAAATGAAACGTTTCTTGGGGACGGAGAGGGGGGTATAAGACATTAGCTTAAATATATTCACTGTTTGTTATCCCACTATATAGGAGAAGGAGTTTTATACTAAATATTCCAAGAAAACATAACATATTTCAAGTAAAAATAAAAACTGTACAAAAATTGAAAATTTCTGCTCTGTTTGCCTGAAAATTTTAAAGGTCTAAGAGAGAAAAACTAAGTTTTATGAATAAAAATTTATTAGATAGTTTAAAATAGGTGAATTCTTGATAGAACATTTGTTCAGATAATATTGCTTAATCCCGTACAAAGGGGCTCGGCATAGCCTGGTGGTTAGGACGTTTCACTACACAATCTGAGGGTCGTGGGTTCGAATCCCCGACCCACCAAACGTGCTCGCCCTTTCAGCCGTGGGGGCGTTATATTGTGACGGTCAGTCCCATTATTCGTTGGTAAAATAGTAGCCCAAGAGTTGGCGGTAGGTGGTGCTGAGTAGCTGCCTTCCCTCTAGTCTTTCACTGCTAAATTACGGACGGCTAGCGCAGATAGCCCTCGTGTAGCTTTGCGCGAAATTCCAAACAAACCAAGCCCATACAAAGGGTCTTTTAAAAATGTAATAAACACTTAATGGAATCCCATTATCACTATTGATCCTCAAGTGCTATTCATTGTTCATTGTTTTAACGGTTGTTGTTTGTGTTTTGCCGTTACATTTTAATAACAATTCAACACAATTAATCGTAAGTTGCATAATTACTGGATACAGTGAGTAAAAATCGTATTTCTATAAACAATCTAAATGTTGTCTTATTTTAATTTTTTCGTTTTTACAACATTCGCATACATTAAATATAATCAGTTTTTAGTAAAACAAAATGGAAACAATTAGAAATACATAACGCTTTAGTTTAACATTCAAAGTTTAACAATGTGTTTTTCGCACATAAAAGTTGGGAGCTGTGTTAGTTTTCTAATAACTAAGAAAATTCATCGTGATGAAGTTTTAAATTATGTTAATTAATTAACATGGTTTTTAATTAGCACGCAATATAGGAAATTAGCATATTAAACTGTATGATCAATGAGACCGGAAAACATTGTGAAAGCATGTATGGAAAACACGTATCAATGGAATAAGTAATACAATAAAAACTTCCTATCTGTCCCCCCCCCCAGTGGCACAGTCTGCGGAATTACAACGCTAGAATCCGGGTTTTGATACCCGTGGTGGGTAGAACACAGATAGTTCATTGTGTAGCTTTGTGCTTAATTACAAACAAACAAACTTCTTATCTAGATGAAGTTTAAAAAATACATCTCTCAATAGATTAAGAATGTCGTTACATTGTTAACCAAAGTAAAAAAAAAATAGAAGATTTTTACTT